AACTTTTAACTTCATTTTGGTAAAGATTGTATATTAAACCCTTCAACCACAGGCAGTCATTTGTCATTTCCTTTTGTTCTTTAGGAATTGTCTGTTCAGAGCTCTAGGCGACCAGTTAGAGGGTCACTCCCGGGGCCACCTGCGTCTCCGCCAGGAAACTGTTGATTATATGACATCCCATCGACAAGACTTTGAGCCCTTTGTTGAGGATGAGGTTCCCTTTGCACAGCACTGTAAGAAAAAAAACAAGCAAGCGGGTAACATTGGCTACATACGCCAAGAAAACAATGTGATTAGCTAGACTTACTCTAATTCACAATCCACAATCTATAATGGTACCTACGCTATATTGCCAAAAGTATTTGCCTTCACACCTATACAAACTTGACTGACATCCCACTCTTAATCCATAGTGTTTAAAATGGTGTCGGCACATCCTTTACAGCTGTAACAGCTTCAACTCTTCTGGGAAGAGTTTAGAAGTGTTTACGGCAGTTTTTGACCATTCTTCCAGAAGTACATTTGTCAGGTCAGACACTGATGTTGGACGAGAAGGCCTGGCTCACAGTCTCTACTCTAATTCATCCCAAAGGTTTTCTGTTGAGTTGAGGTCAGGACTCTGTACAGGCCAGTCAAGTTCTTTCACACCAAACTTGGAAGAGAAACTTGGAAGAAAGCACATGGCAAGGTCCACGTCTGTGTGCACTTTGCTTTATGCATTGTTATATAGTCATGATGGAACACGAAAGGGCCATCCCCAAATTGTTCCCACAAGGTTTGTGCAAAATATCTTGGTATGCTGAGTCAACTGCCAAACCCAGACTCATCCTCCAAATTTCCAGATGGAGAAGTGTGATTCGTCACTCCAGAGAACATGTCTCCAATGCTTCACAGTCCAGTGATGGCTCAATTTACACCACTTAATCCAACACTGTGTATTGTGCTTGAATCCAGCTGCTCATGAAGGCCCATTCCATGAAGCGCTCTACACATGGTTCTTGAACTAATCTGAAGGCCACATGAAGTTTGGAGGTCTGCAGTGCTTGACTCTGCAGGAAATTGGCAACCTCTGTGCACTATGCACCTCAGCATCCACCGACTGTGGAATATTTAGTAGCGAGGAAATTTCACGATTGAACTTGTTACACAGGTCCTATCACGGTACCACACTGAAATTTACTGAGTACCTGAGAGCAACCCATCCTTTCACAAATCTTTGTAAAAGCAGTCTGCATGTCTTCATGCTTGATTTTATACCCTGTGGCCATGGAAGTGATTGAAACAACTGAATTCCATGATTTCAGTAGGTGAGGGAATATTTTTGGCAATATAGTTGCACATGGACAGACAGCTGAGTTCAGTGGGATGCAGTTTTGACCAGAAACTTTGCAGTGACCTCTGGTGGTTATTGCTTCTGAGTGACAGATGTATGTAAGTGGCCTGTGGAAGGGACGGGGTGTCACAAAATAAATATACGATCTCTTAGTTTACTTTTTTTTTTAGTGTAAAAATGTGGAAATACTAATATATACAATAGGACAGCTTTAGTCATTTTAACAGACAGACTTTAAGTGTCATGTGTTGAAAGTTCAAGAGAGCAGTTGTGGCAGTAACAACTCTCTGCTTCTTTTCCTTGCAGTGGCCAATCTTTCTCAGCCTGGTACTTTTGCTGGCAACGATGCCATTGTGGCATTTGCTCGCAGTCAACAGGTGAAAGTGGTTATCCATCAGCTCAACACTCCACTGTGGGAGGTAGGACCAGACACTTTCAAATTATGTCTCCTGATCTTGTGCGCTAATATAATTTGTTATATGATGTCTCTGTGGCACACCACGCTGTTTATATGTTGTGTTTCTGTTGCAGATCAATGGTTCAGAGAAGCAGGTGTGCCGAGAGCTGCACATTGCCTACCGCTATGGAGACCATTATGACAGCGTGAGACGGATAGGAGACAACTCTGAGAGTCCTGCTCAGCTCCGCATAGAGGTGTGGTGTCCTACCAGACCAGTACTTAAAGAACAGTTAGCTCTCATCTAGCATGCGTCTTTATATGTCAACACTGCACCCAATGAGCCGTCTTCTACTAGATTTTTTTCTGATGTTTTTCTTATCATTGTTGTTCCCAGAATATGCAGAATTCACATGGACAGCAGCGTGAGTTTGGGGACGGTCAGAGAGACAGGCACAAAAAGTCTTCTCCTACAGCGTCAGAGGAGGACAACGTGATCCTGAGCTCCATCAAGAATCGAGCGATCCAGGGTTAGAAGTTACATTTAAATTATTAGCTGTTGGAACAAGTAGACTTCTGTGAGGGAAAGCAACATAATCGTCAGAATCATGAATGCTTTGGATTTTTTTCACAGCTAGTTGTTGCGTTGATCACATAAACATCCCAGCATGGAACTGAGACTCTTAGCATGGCACTAACAGAAACAGATCTGATTGTATTTGCATGTTTATATCTTTTTTGCCTCAGGTGATGAGGAAAACTTACTCCAACTGAGTGCAGCGACAATCAACGCCGAGTGGCTTGTTGGCTCTGCGGTGGGCCAGTCCTGCCAGGGCCAGTGTGCTTCTGGATCCTGTTCAACCTGCAGAGCGGCAGCCGCTCACTGCAGTGATCCCACCCAGACAGCAGAGGGCAGCAACGTTCAAAAATCCAAGGTTGTGGATGCAAGTTTCCTGCTAATTATTTGCATTATAAAGGAGCCTGTCTAGCTAAATCAATATTTTATACTTCACATTATACATGAAATTGATTCACATTGGTG